TTGTCTGAAAGTTTATGCAAAAGTATAGGTACTTTTAGAAGCTCATATTCCATTTCAATACATACTTTACTATTATACAGTCTATGAGTCTTCTGCATTCAATATTATGGTAGCTAAGAGTATACTTATCGAGACGTAAAACGAGTTACTTAGAATCTCAGAAAAAATTAATAAAGACCAGAAATTCATAAAATATTTAGAGCTATGTATAGAGATAATGAATTGACAGACTAGATCTTTTCAAAAGGATCAAGCCTTTTTTATGGAGACCGTAAGTACTGAAAGTATTGTGCAAGGCCAGGGAAACCACCGGACGTTTGTGGTCTTTATAATTTCCAATCGCCAAATCATTGTTCGTATGATTACTAATAAGCTAACTTTTGGAAAATTTTCTGTATGATATAGGGAGCAATATGTAAGCCTGATGACCATGTCTTGATTTCATAAGTTTAGGACAATGATTTACTATTTAAATCACTTCTGATCATGTTCACTTGATGCAAAACATCTTGTATAAGTGGGTAATTTTCTTATATTAAACGACCAATGATTTCCCTGAAAAGTTATTCTGTCTTATGATATCCGCTTATCGGCAATATTTTACATCAGTAATCCAGATCTGTGAGAAGTCGCCACTCGGATGCATTAAGTACAACCATTTCAGCCGACTGTTCACAACAAACACAGTTCATACAGTTATGTACACAATTTCGGCAATGCGTAAAATAACAGGATAACTAAAGAATTTAACTTCTGGAGTCTTTTAGGGATATTTAGAAAAATAGAAACAGAGATAGGACGTATTTCGCTTCAAATCCAGAGTTCTTTGAAGAGAATAAGGTCAATACTCCAAATAAATAAAGTAATCATAACTTTATTTTATTAGACTGTAATATATCTAAGAGAGGTTTTATTGGCTTTTAAATAAAGCTGTTTATAACCAAAAAAGAACCTGTAATTGAGTTGTGATAGTTAGATCAAATGTTTTATTAATAAAGGAATGAATTTATTATCAAAATCTGAGAGATTTAAAAAAAGTAAGGACATTAACATCAGATTTCCAACTCATAACAGAAATAGAAATATTCTTAAATAAAATAATCAGAAATAAGATGTTCTAGAAATTATTCTCACTATAGTATCCATATTCAAGTATACGTATTATCTGTGTAATACTAATTATCACCTTAAAAATGATCCATTTTTTATATTTTCTTGATTGACTGATTTATCCCCGGTTCATTTACATTTATCTCATGAGTTTGAATGATAAAGAATCTTGTTTTCTACCTACTATCAGGCTAGATTATTGTATCTTGCAACAATTCTGTCTCTTGTTTTTGGATTTTCTAGCTAGATTCCCATTTAAAAGGTAGCATGTATCACAATCTGATATCTTACTTTTGAGCATTTCGCTGTAAAATATTATACTACGCGTATGCATAATCTCTTTTCAGTGTATACTAATAAATTACTTATTCTATGATGTTTTCTCTTTTGATTTTGAAATAGGTTTTTTATTATTTGAAAATAACCTTGGACTCTTGTTAATGGCTTCTACCATTTTTTAAATCACTAATTGAATGTGCAGTTCTGACGACAGGTTAATAAAAGAGCACTCTTCTGTAATTACTGCAGTTTAAATTCATATAGAAAACCGTTTGTTGATTAAGAATACTTGAAGATTCTAATGAAAATCTAGAGCAACATCTGATTGAAAGTGAAAATGTGTCCTATTAACCACTGGAAGTGCAACGTCTCTCATAGATGACAGTTATAAAACGAGTTTTAATCCTTTTTCTGTTAGAATACATCTGAAGATTCCCGGTTAACTACTGATTTTGTAGCTAGTAGTGTAATGATAAAGAGGTGGGTTTGAAAACAGTGCAGTTCATACTCCATTTCTGTAACATTACATTATAAGATTCAGATAATTTCTATATAAATATATTGCGAACCATTTCTTTATAATCTCTGAAATACATCGATGTTTTAATTATCGATACGCTTGGGTATTTCAGATTAACGATAGAGCTTCTCTACATAAAAATTAGCTAATAATAAAATAACTATAATTCAAAATATTGTGATTATCAGTGAGAACATTGTACAATTACAGAAATCACTACGAACCGAAATCAAAGTTTTACTGAAACTTTATCTTCCTCCATTCACATGCAGGTAATTCATTAATTGGATGATAGTCATTCTGATTTAGAGGATTAATAGTTATACAGGCTCTGTTTGATAGAATACACTCGTGGAGTATTTCGAATAGTACTCAATTATTTATGCCGGTTGGTTACGCTTCACATTTATTGTAATCCTTTTGGCTTTCTTAACATTACTCGAGTCCTGGACTCCACTGCTAGCCACCATCAATCTCTACTTATAATTACTGGCTCCTGTTATTGCGGTTTTCATTCGGAATTTTCATTTGAGTTTCGTGTACTCGCATAGGTATTCCTTCAGGTATAGGTTCACACAAACTTTTCGCGTCATAAGATGATACTTTATGGAATGACTAGAGTTCTAGGAAATATAACTCGATAAAAAACATATGAAGTGTCGAAAATCTTAAGCGTCTTCGAAACGAACATTTTCATTTAACAAAGATCATTGTTTTGAAATATACTTAGTAAACTCGGGGAACAAGGGACTATCTAACTTGTAATAAGATGTAAGTAATCAATATGCTTTTTGACGGCTCAAATATCTAGTATACTTAAGAACAATTACTAATTTCCTGATTATCCAATAATCCACTTACTAGGAGTTTGTAAAGTTCTAAACTCATACTACATCTATATCGTTGGTTTCATTAATTTTCCTCTCTTAAATATTTTTAATCAAGAATCACATGTGTCCTTTAAACATCGATTAACAGTAGCTTGAATAAAAAGTGTTCATAATACTAGCTAATAATAGATAAAGTTTTTCTGAGAACAGATGTTCAAATAAAATCCTTTCCATACTTTCTTACTATTTCTTCGTAGGTTAGACAAGGTCTGAATTTAATTTCTATTAAAAACATTTGACGTAATTCTGCATACATGACATGAACAAAATAAACAAGATAGTAGTCGATAGGTCAATGCTATAAGTGATGTGACTAAGTCTAGTACATAAAAGTATATATATATTTATACTGCTTAATAGTAGTATAAATGTTAAAGTAAAATTTCACGGAGATACTTAATTTCCAAATAATACCATTTTTCTACTCTGCCTTGAACTTATGTTCCTTTGTAACGATGAAAGATACTTCAGCCAATCCGGTCAAACGGGTACGGTGAGAAAGTGTTACTTAATGGCCAAACTAAAACTATTGGCAGAACCCTTTACAGTGAACTTGGAATCATACCGAGTAGATACCCACATAAATGCCCTCCTTCCAGCTACTCAATGAAGACAATTTTTCAGTTAACCCTATCGTCACTCAAAGGCTAGTGAGTAGTTCTTATCGGAGTCTAGAAAACTACCATTCAATTATATTACATGAATCAATTATTGGTTTAAAACCCTGAAACGACTCGAATTAATTAGAGTTACCTAGTTTTTCGCGAAGCGTGTTTGTAACTAATCCACAAATATTAATATGACTTCAAAATAAAATTGTCTTATTACTGGTTACGCTTAACTAAATTGATTTTCCATATTTTATTGATAGCCCTATTGAATAAAATGTAAAGTAATCAAGTAGATCATTCCATGAACGCTCTTTTTATTCAATATAAGACATGAATCCAATCCATAAATTTCGCAACTTGACAACAGCAGGGATATAGCCGGACATTTTATAGAGTAATGAATAGTAATAAAAAACGGGAGGTATAGGATGAATTTCAAGTCTAGAGCTCCTACAGAGTGTCTCCAACCACCAAAAGCTGCATTAGTGAATTCTAAACAAGTGGATTGCCCTGGTACGGCCGAGAGTGGGGAGAGTCCGCTCTCCCTCTCGAAATGCTCTCACATGGCCATGCGTATATAGCCTCTACCAGGGAAGTCCTACTCACTGCCTTCTCGTGGCGGGGGTGTTGTTTACAAAAATGAGAGGACGAAAAGCGAATGTCTGGCGCTTTAACCGGACCCCAAACCAATGGTGCACATGGGCTCCAGTATCCTGAAGGAACAAATGGCGTATGAACCAATCGTTGGTCACCGGCTACCATGGGACTGCATCTCCTCACGATGCTCCACTGCCTTGTGGATCAGACGTTCAGGTCAAAGGCTCGGGGTGTGGCCCCCTAAGACAACCACCTGCTTCGGTTTGGGCACCCGGGCAGTATCACAGCCCTCACACAAATCAATTGAGATTTGTGTGGCGCATATGTATTTGGTGCCTCCCTGTACCTATACTTATGTGTTAAAATAAATAATAAATAAATAAGAAATTGAACAGGACACTAGAATATCCCAATAACTTTCTGATTTTTTATCCTATCATCAGAGAACAAACCTATCTGAAGGCTATAACTTAAAGCCAGTTTATTTCAAATTTGTCTTATTTCTCGTATAAATGTAGCTTGTGCTTTAGATTTAAAAACTGATTGGTTAAATTTGTTTAGTTTGGGAGGCTGATGAATTATAGAACTACTTTTCTCAGTGCATTGTAAAACTGATCTTATAGTTCGGAACTGTATTTACCTATTTGTTGTCTTATACAATCAGCTTTGTGGATTATTTATTGTCAGCGTGGTACCTATCCATATCATAAATTCACATATGAACGCTTGGACAAAACCCAACTAGTTTTTTTCGATATTTTTAATCCAAACAAATTCTTTTGTTTTGTTTACTTAATTAAAGTTTATAAATTTTTAGTGGCACCACATAAAACGAGATAGTTTACATGCTGTCACTTACTACTCGATAAAACTGGGAAATTTTCTTAATGAAGAGATAACACTTATACTATGTAAAGCTTATTAAACGTGTTATCCTAATGAACGCTTATATTTTCTTTACAAAAAAATATGTATGCAACAGCATGTAAACAAATGTAATACAAATATCAGATCCAATAAGAAAAATATGCTAAATTTGCAGGATTCAATAGTACATCTCGATAAACAGCCTATTGATGAACACTATCAATCAGTCATGAAATAGCAATTAAATAAATTAACTGTAGTCGAACTATGCATAATTTTATATGGATATTCAAAATGAAATTTTTGTACAGAAATAAAACTAGAACAGGTAGAAAAGAAACCAAAAGCCATAGACAGCTGTTCTGAATATCTGGTAGTGTGTACCTGCGAGACGTAGTCCAGTAACTTCAGATTTCATTTAGAACACAATACCACTGGTCTCGAAAATTTAACTAATCTCCAAGAACCATCAAACTTAACAAGCCCAGAACTGAAACTGATCAGTTAAGTACACAAATAACTAGCTACATTAAAAAAACTTCATAACGATGAGTTAAGTTTGATCTATGCTTATCAACACATTACACATGCTCCATGAATATCGATTTTGTTACACACTTAAGACAGAGACAGGTGTATGAACCAATGCGACAACGATAGTAACGTATTAAAAATGAATACTTAGACGAATCAACAATCTTTTTCCTTTCTCTCTAATGATTATATCACTACGCCTTTTTTCAATTCCCTTCTAAAGCAATGATTTTATTTTAACTAACTGAGCTTTACTCGTTCTATTTTCATTAGAGTTTGTTCATGACTTAACCACTTATCTCTGGTTCTTTAATCTTCTGTTGCTATCACTGTTGTAGAATATTCATTCATTTGCGAAATTTTTGTTTAGTCCGTTACATTAAAGGGAGCTATGTGAATGACAGACACGTTGTTAATGATCGATAACGGGGATCGAGACCAACATAAAGCTTCTCTCGACTGTTGGCTAATCTTAATTATTAGAGACAACAACAATTCGTTTTTCGACAGAAGAACTGAACTCGACATCATTGTAACTGCGGTTATCATAAAAGTGAGACAAAAACTTGAACAAGATAAACTGGAAACATTAGCAGACAAAAAAAGAACAATTAAAACACTATGGTCGAAATGCTGCAAATAACACAGCAGCAGTATCTTACAGGAGTAAAATCGTAAATCGTTTTGATAAAAGGAAAGAAACACATCATAAAATGAAATCGAATGAATGAATAGTATATTGGCTAAATTACTCTAAAATAAAGCTACGCTACTATAAAAAAGAAAAAAGATAAACAGTCAACGAACTGTATAATGAAAAAAATTACAGAAAATTTAGTAGTGATAGAAAGGTGAGAAATGTAGCATTTCAACCTCTGATACGCTGCATTGAAATGATAAAGTTATGTTGTTTTTGAAAATTCTAATCCTTATGAGACCGCATCAGTGACACCAAGTGGCCAATCGTATACATCAGGCATAACTGGTATATAATTTGGATCATACATCTTTTGAGACAAATACAATTCAATATCCTTAGGTTGTGGTTCATAATGACAAATACCTTTTGAGTAGGCATATTTTGCAACGTGTACTGCTATAGCCAACGAAACATTGCGTATATCTCTTAACGGTGGGAATACACGACCAACATCCAAATCTTTTTCGTCGACTTGATCTGCTAAACACTAAAATTTTTAGAAACGAAGAAATGAACAACAAAAGAAGCACCATCGAATTTTAAGCTATTTTGTCCTTATTGCACTACGTTGTTATATATTATTTTTTGCCTTTAATCACGAAGTTCATCCAATTCATCGGTGTTCTTTCAACTGTTTCATTTTTCACTAGGAACTGTCTTCATTTTACGATTTGAATGTTCTTTGAGTAAACGGATATAAAAAACATAGAGTGTTTTTCATAATTCCACGACTTGAACATCACAAATGAGCTACTTAAGTTATTTGGAAAATGTGCGCAATACGTCGAATCTAAAACATCTCTTCACTGTCAATTATGCAGACCCAAGAATAAAAGACAGAGAAATAGATATAACACAACTGCAAAAAAATACAGGAGAGTTATCAGTATAAAGGTTGTGGAGATTGTTGAGTTTAAATTTAAATCATGAACAGATCAATGTTAGACCACCATGGAAAACCTGGAAGCACTGGATGGCCGTTTCACACCAGAATGGGACTCATCAACAGTACACATCCACGATCTCGCGCACGGAACCCTAATCCAGGACCTGCGGTCTTGCACACGCACGGCTAACCTCCAAACTACTGAGTCGGCATCCAACGGTGTTAATGTCTAACTTCAACTAATCTATGATATTGCGCGACCGTCCTCCATTGTCTTCAGTGAGTAACTGCCTGACACCAGACACGTTTGAACTCCAAGAATCAGTCCTCGAGGCTAAACACTAGAGAGCATGTGATAATTATTAGTGTAGAGTTGTGGTGATTGTTGAGTTTTTATTGAGATCATGAATCGATCAGTGTTAGACCATCGAGTTCTGTATGTAGGACCGTGGAATTAGCGCTGCTAAGGAGTACCGTACTAGGACAAAACGACCGTCCAGTGCTTCCAGGTGTTCACTGACAGTCTAACGTTGAGTGGTCCTCTAAACAAAAGCTGACGCCTGTGAATACGAATTTGAATAGAAATATAGAGATCCAAATTCACTTAGTATCGTTTACTTGAATTTTCCCACTGATATTTAGGAGTGCAATTGATCAGTCTCTTATTGGTATATGTGCATAATGTGCGTATTGCTTTGATATTACCATAATTCACAAGCATTACAAGCAAAGATGGATTTTGGTTAGCAGTGGAATCCAGGACGTGCGTCTCGTTCTATTTAGGACTCGTCAGCTGGATGTGCCTGCATCTCGCAGGTGGTGTTCAACTCTGCGAGGCATATTGATTTGCTTAGAGAAATATCTAAACTAGATAACGCTAACTTGGAATCCCGAAGGGAGACGGAAAAGAGGAAGACCAAAGAACACACTGTGTCGATACTTGGGAGCAGATATCAAAATGACGAATGGCAACTGGAAAGGATTGCCCAGGACAAGATCGGATGGAGAATGCTGGTGGGCGGCCTATGCTCCTACACGAAGAGTAATGGGCGTCAGTAAGTAAGTGAAAATGTGTGTGACGACACAGTTAGTCGCATCCAAGGTCATTAGAACAAGTCAGTAAAACAAGATGCTTACTTCAGCAGCGATTACGAAAAGTTCTTGTAAAACTGGACGAATTTGACACAGTGTAATAGCCAGTCCCACACCGGGGAAAATGTAAGAATTATTACATTGACCGGGTTGGAAATGCACTTCTTTTCCAGAAACGTTAAGTGAAACATCATTGAAGGGTGAACCGCCAGCAAATACGCATCGACCCTAGAAAACCAAACAAATTCATGTTAAATACACGTCACACAGATACAGAAAAACTTTATGGTTAAAAAAGCAAGTCGTTAACAATGAAATCGAAACTGTCACAGGGATTTGTACATCTATTGTAAGATGTATTTGGTAAGATTACACACTACTAATAAACAATATGAAAAATAAGGAAATTTGATTTTATAGCGATTATCCATAAATCCGGTTTACTTTGGGGTTAAACACATTAACATGAAAAAGAGACATTATCAAAATAGAGCACAGATGTACGTTGACTCATGTTGGTGTACTAGATCATCTCAATGAGATAAAAATAACAAAAGAGATCGAAAGTAGTTACATACTTACGCCCGTTACCCTCTGTGTAGGAGCATAGGCCGCCCACCAGCATTCTCCAACTCTGTTCTGGGCAATTTTTCCTGTTGCTATTTATGTCTGCTTCCAATTCTTGGTACAGTGTGTTCTATGACCTTCCTCTTTTCCGTTTCCATTCAGAATTCCAAGTTAGTGCTTGCTTCGTGATGCAGTTCGATGATTTCCTCAATGTGTCTTATCCACTTCCAGCGTTTTTTCCTAATTTCCTCTTCAATTGGAAGCTGCTATGTTCCCTCCCAAAGTAGGTTGTTGCTAATGGTATTCGGCTAACGAACATTGAGTATCTTGTGTAGACAACTGTTTATAAGTACTTGTACATTTTCGATGATTGATGTGGTAGTTCTTCAAGTTTCAGATCCGTGCAGCAGAACTGTCTTGACGTTCGTATAAAAGATTCTGACTTTGATATTGGTTGACAGTTGTTTTGAGTTCCATATGTTCTTCAACTGTGGGAATGCTACCTTTACTTTGCCAAACCGTGCCGTTACGTCCACACCAGATCCTCCTTGTTCATCGATGATGCTGACCAGATACGTAAAAGTTTCCACCACTTCCAGAGTTTTTTCATCAATTGTGATTGAGCTGGTATTCTGTATGTTGTATTTGAGGATTTTGGTTCTTCCCTAGTGTACGTTGAGGCCTACTTATGCACAGGATTCTACTGCACCGACTGTCTTGATCTGCATTTGTTTGTGTGTAAGGGGTAGAAGAACTAGGTCATCTGAGAAGTCCAAATCGTCTAGTTGCATCTAGTCTATCATTGGTTGGTGCATAACATTCAATGTGATTCCCTCCTTTGCTTTGAGTGATCCCGGGTCCATCAGATTCCCATCTCATGTGTGTCTTTCGTGCTACTTTGGACAGTGTCAGTGCAACTTATTGTACGTGTGTTTCGTTTTTTCTTCATGACCAGAGTACAACAGCATTTCACTTGAATCTAACGTCTTCAGTCCAGCTTTGTTCCAGTGGATTTCAGTGATTCCCAGAAATGCTAAATTTTATCTCCTCACTTCCGCAGCAATTAAACTAGTCTTTCCGGTCTTCGAACATTCCATGTACCTATATTAATTGTTTCTCTGGTTTTTAGGACTTCCGAAGAATATCAGCTTTCACTCTGAGGTGTCATAATTCTTCTTTCAAGTTCTTGAGCAGAGTTTAAAATATTTATTCTGGTTAGCATTTTTTTTATTAGGGTTATTGATAAGTTTTTTAATTGAACGCTAGATTCGGTTCCTAAGCTCTTCTAGTAACCCTCAGTCTAAATCTACACAGCGACTTGAACACGAGAGAAAAGGCGCTACTAAACATAGTAGCAGTATGGGTAATCACCGAATCAGAAGCGCGACATGTGACCTTTCACTTTCTATGTTTCTGGCAAAACTTTTATTAGTTGGATAAGATGTTTCTCAATGTTTTCAGAGCCCTTTTTTGTTTTTTTCTCGAGGAACCCTTCTCCTTTACCCGGGCTTCGGACCGGCACTAACCCTAGATCTACAGGCGGAGTTAAATAAAGTAGTAGCAATAATAATAAGAAAGACCATACCTTGAGAATGTAGTTTGAAAAGACAGAATGGAAAGGTATGTGTGGAAGAATACTAGAATTCGAGAGGGAGATAAAGAATGAAGGTGTCTGAACTATTGTGAACAGTTCCGAGCCATGTCTTGACAAAAGACAATTGTAAGTTATAACAATAGTATCTTATTAGTCGAAAAGAAAGTGGTGTAACTAATTCTTAATTTTTTATAATGGAGCAAAACTGGATCAGTAAGCTAAGAGAATCATCATTGGTGTAAGCTTTCTATTACCTTCGAACTTAAGGGACAGAGATTGAAAGGTACAGTAAAACTTTTAGTAAACGCTAAAAGCTTACAAATTTAATCACTAGCTCAGAATAATAATAATTTCTAGACTCATATCACTTCTGCTAAATGTTATGTTATATTAGATACAAGATAACGATGTTTTTTCACGTTTACGAAAATATAGTACACATATTTGGTAGCAATCTTACCTCTGTAATTCTATATGCTCTTTCAGCGGTGCATTCAGATTTCGAAGTTGGATTGCTCAGTGAAAATATAATTGGTCGTTCAGAATTTTTAACCATTTGTTGAAGGATAGCATCTGTAAAAATTCCACCTTGCCCGGATGCACCTGCCACATGGTACCCAGTAAATGAAAGTAATAAGTAATTTGCATAGCTTTAAATGAAAAAGTCCCGTTGTGAAAACCAATGACTATAAGATATTTCTTATATATGTGTATTTAAAAATCATACTAGGAAAATAGGCAGCCATGTAAGCGATGCCCATCCCGAGGTAGCGTGGAATGATATCCGAAAAGCAGTGAAAACAGCAGTGATATATGCTACTAAGGTAAACCATAAGGTTAGGGAGAAATACTGGATCTCAGCAGCATCTACCACACTGATAGATGCTCGAAAAATTATCCCATCTGGCTCTGAACACGATGAAGAGAGGAGTCAGCTCATGTGCAGGTTGATAAGAAACTAGGAGTGGCCAGACCACGTGGCACAAATCCATGAAGTCATTGGCAAGTGTACTGAGCCATGTTGGTAGGTGTAGACTACCTGGTTGGGATCCGCGAGACGATAGCAACCGATGGTTAGAGACCTTGAATGATATGCCTCAAAATCGTTTGCAATAGCGCAGGTGCATCTACTCTTTGTGTTCTCCTAAATTCTAATCTTCTGAATTTTTCATGTCCATCTTTCCTCTTTCCAAATTTATTTCACTGGATTATACTTCTTGAATAACATCCTTAAACCCTGATGTTTCCGACCACGGCTTATAGTTTTACTACCTCTACCACTATGGGGTTCAAATAGACAATTGTATCTCTTTGCTAAGGCGTTATGGAAACTTGAGCTGATGTACGTACGTACGAAGTTCTGCGTTTTTGCTGACTGATTTAAAAATCACAAGAAGTGATAGACGGTATGAATAAATAATTTCTAAAACTAAAATTTGTATACATACGTTTTGGTGACTAGTACTGGATAGAAACAAAAACCTCCAGCGTTAAAAAAACTGTTGTGGTGATCCAGAAAATTTCTCGCAAAAGACATGCAAAGATCAGGAAACACTAAGAAGTACTTCATCCAATCAGCGTTCAATTGAAGTTTTAGCCAGAAACATCAAGGAAGTGAAACGTCACATGCAGAGGTTCTGATTGACTGATTGTCATACTGCTACTATGTTTAGTAGCATTCCAGGATCTTCGAGCAACCCAAGGACATTTAAAATATTATAAAAACCCTATATTTTCTGTAATAAAATGAACCGTGGAGTAAAGTACTTTCGTATACTTTTCGCCTTCTCTCTCGTGTTTAGGTCGCTGTATAGTTCTAGCTTGGGGGTTACAAGAATAGCTTAGGAACCGAGTATAACGTCCAAATTGCAAGATTTATCAAAAACTTACAAATTAGCTTGTGGACATCAAACAAATTATAAATTAATTTACTGTCGCACTATACCGGATAAAATTTACTCAATCATATCGACAGATTGAATTGATAAAACATGATTATCTGAAAAATACATAAGAAAACTGAAGAAACTTTTGGTAAATTCTAGACTATATTGCCGTACGAACCCATACACAAAGCTACATGGGTTTCACCAAACCACACTGCACAGAATTAGAGAAGTCATATTTGCATCAATAAAAAATTCACAAGGTCAATGGAAGACATGCAAACAAAGACATGGTCTGACGCAGCTTCAGGTCACCACCTGCTGATGGTCAAGATGAAAATGGAGTTAATGAGGCATTAGACAATTGAGCGAGCAACACCATAAGAGTTCCAAGCCTTACGAAATCAACCAAAAGAAGAGAAAACCAACATGGAAAGGAATTAAAGAACCAACAACTTCAACATCCCAGGTGCTGGACTGCAAGAAGTACCGAGGTAAAGAATAAACCTCAATAGATATCATGGGCAAGATTCAAGGAAGACAAAACGAGAAAACCATAGTCAACAACATCCGAATAAAAGTAGGCGAAATCAAGCTACAAACTGAATGTACAGAAGCAGACAAGCGGAAATGTGTCGAAAACCTGGTGACTATGGTAGAGAAATTTGAGAGCTAGATGTATGAAAGAATTGTATAATACAAACAAGAAGCTTGTAAGGTAACATGGTGGAACACAGCAACTAGTGAAGAACAGAGAAGGAAAACCAATGGTTGTGGTTCAAAATCATAGGAGCAGGTGGGTAGAACACTGTGAAAGGCCCTCCAATAGACCAGTACCATTGAACCCACAAAACATCGAAGCAGCACACACAGACCTCCTTATAGATGTTACACCACCAGCAATCGAAGAAATCAGGATATCTATTAGACAAATCAAGAGTGCGAAAGCAGCTAGACCAGAAAATATATCAGCTAAAGCACTGAAGTTAGATATGGAGAAAACCACAAAGTTGTTCCGCATTCTCTTTAGGAGGATTGCAGAGGAAGAACAAGTACCAACAGACTGGAAAAGAAGAATACCTTATCAAGATATCGAAGAAACGAGATCTTCGTTAACATACATAAATACACAAACATGTCACCCTGACCGGAGTGACATGACAATAGCTTCGTCCGCTGTTTTTAATTGATTGTACTAAATATTTCTGCTTTGTTCCTTCGTATTATTTAGACTCAGGTTAATTAATAAATTAATTTATTCTCTGGAGAAATGGCTGACACGGAGTCACAGAAAATCAGGAATTTTATTTTAGACTCATTTAAATATTAGAAATGCCATTATTTTGACAACTAACAATCTACCTATTTGTTTAACATTACCAAGTCAAACCTTGATAATGATATCTAGATTCTTTTGATGTCACAAAAAGTATTTTAATTTATCAATTGTATATTTCCTCCAAAACTATAATTAACATGAGGATGTGTAAATTAGCTAATCATTAAAAGAATCTAACACACGTAAACAACTCCCAATAATAATTCTACTAGATGAAAACAAATGATAACCGCCTGAACCTCTATACTTAACACTTCATCAGGCTATGAAAACCATTAAATAATGACTATCAAGCGTGCCTTGTTAAATAAATATGCCAATGGCGAGAAACTTTTGAGGCCCATTTATATCATGATGACGTATAAATAGCTTACGCTGACAATTCTATGTAAGCATTTTACATGTGTAGTGTCGATATTCTGAACAGTTTGTTACCCATAAGAAAGTGTGTTAAGCATATAGTATACAACTTGGCATACAAAACTGTGTTTATCTGGGTTTTATATCATTGTTTTAATTTCAGCACATAGTTTACCTTATAATATGGTTAATGTAATGTTTATTAATTTAAATGTAAACAGTACACTACAAATACAAAAATAAACAAACGAACTAACGGTCTAATGGTTACAGCACATACAGTGGTGGATTTATATAATTAGGAATTTAGGACTGAGAATATTCGGAAAACGCATGTTAAGTTTCATCATTCCGCCAGTTTGTTTACTTTATAGATTAAACGAATCCAAAGAAAAGTTAACGATGAAACTAAAGTCAACAATAATTACTTGGTGATCAAATAATAAGTAAGTGATATAGCGGGCTACACATTGAGTTTGAAGGCCGGTGAAACAGAGTCCCGAGTAGGAGTAATCTAGAGACCAAACATCATAACAATCGGGTCCCAGACATACAGAAATAGGTGTCTGTGAGGTACTCAGGAGAATAAGATTAAAATATTAAAATGGCTTTAGTCAACATATATATAGGAATATAAGGAATCCATTAAAGACAATAAATCAGCAGAAATAACATACCAATAATAACTGTTGGCTTTAGTAATTTCACTGCATCTTCCAGTTTACATATATTTTCTGCGTCATCACGTGCAAAAACTTTATTATGATCTGTCAGTGAACCTTCTTGACGTGACTGGATATTATGGAAGTCAAAGCAACAGAAAATTATTATTTACGAGGTCCAAAAATTGTAATGTTAGCGAAAAAAGATTTTTTATTTGTAAGGAATAATTAAGCGCCTTTTTTCCTATTCTCTCAGATGTGGTAACTGATTAGTCATTTTTAAATCCAAGTCACAAAAAACTTATTTTCTGATGGTACGTCCTAGGAACTTAGTGTTCTTAATTAAAACTGACAAATAAGTGTAAATATTACGTGGAGAAGATTACAACCCAAATAAAAATCAGTTGGTCAGTCGTAATAAACGTACAATCTGGAACAAATATGGATTAACTCGAGTTAGTATAGAGGTAATTATAGTTAGGGATATATTCACTATTCAAAAAGACTATAAGAGAAACATTTCTGTTGATAAATATATGAGTTCAACTTTTTTAATCCTAACTTCATTTAGACTTGAAAAGTAAAAAGAGCTTGAAATTTTATTAAGCTGTTTAATACAAACTACAGGAAACATACGTGAGAAGTGTAAGATTACACAATGAAAAAAGTAGATTTCGTACACTATATAACAGTAATGAGTAATGTGAAAGATTACGAGAGACAAGACACGTATTCTTTATTTGAGGAATAATAGACGTGAACACGGAGATTTACTTACTTGGGACAGCACTAATTAGGAGAAACTGAAGTTGTTTCTTTTTTTAGTGTGATAATTGTCACAAATATTAAATGAAATATATAGGATATCAGAGGGTGATTCAACAGGTTCAGTAGCAATTTCTCCCTAGTCTAGAATAAAGTTTATAATCTCATTAGTGCTTAAACAGTAGTGATAATTGAAAATTCATTATCACACAAAGGCAAATTATTGTTCGAATTGTTTAAGATAACATTTTAACATGAGACAATCTCTATTATGGTTACTGCAAAATATTTGTAGATTATGATTACAAAGCCATGATGGCAATGTAACTTAAGAAGAGAGTTCTTGTTATAGATGTTTCTGTGGACCTTATGACTTCCACCTACCCCCACAGTCACTGTATGCGCTAACGACCAATAGCTGGCATAATATTCTCATTCACACCCAAGTCCTGATCAGAAAACCAGGATACCTAGACAAGTATCACGCGTTGTTATGTATTATTCAGATTTAAAAAACTGATGTGGTTATATACATCAAATACAAGACCACAACGAATAATAACTCAATCTGTGCATAACTAGGGCGTTTGTGGTACGAAACTGTGATAGGAATTTGAATTGATGAACAAATATCAGTAATGTGGACTCGAATAAACCAATATGACACAATAACCAAAATGAAAAAGGGCGAAGCCTTCAACAACAGTAGAAATAACAGAAACAATGAGATTTACATGTGTTAATAGTCCGTCTTTATCGAACATATACATTTTACTCAATGCCTCTTTCTCATCCAATCCATTTAGTTGTAATGATGTTGCCAGTAACTGAGCAATACCGGTTGCTGCCTATTTTATAAAATAGATAAATTGAGAGGTATATAATAGGTTGTTTTACATGAAACTGTTTAAACAACGATAAGGGGTCTGTTTTGTAACCGAAATCCATCGAGAAATTATATCTCACAATAAAATGACCTAAAAAAGATGAATTACCTATAATATATTCTGTGAAACATATTCACAGGAATATTTAAGCAAATAATTGTTTCCAATAACTTAGTCATCAGGCTCTATGGTTATAAATCCGTAATTATCGTATTACAATGGACAAATCAAAGAATGTATAAAGAAATGGACTAGATAATGCTATATACTATTTATGTACGCCTTATTTTGTTCATTTTAATACAATAATTACGGATTTATAACTATAGAGCTTAATGACTAAGTTATTGGGAACAATTGTTCACTCATATGTTCTTTGTTTTTGAATATTTACATGAGGTAATAGAAATGTGTGCACATATTTACTACGAGTTGTAGATAGAAAAAACACTAATCAATATAACAATTTATGTTTCATTAACTAGAAGCTAATGGAAAAGGGAATATTGGATGGATAATTAAATGATATAGACTATAAATTTGTTTGTTTGTATATTTTACTCGAATAAAACTGGTGAATTCTTTAGAAATCATAAACTCCTATGTCGTTTGTCTCAGGAACGACAACATATCCTACTACTGGTGACAAGAAACTTATTGCCTGATCAGAATTAGGTGGGACTAGGATTGAATTTATAGTTCAGTGGCTGAAGATCAACTGCATTAACTATCAAGTCAACACAGCAGAATAAATGGACAGAACCCTGGTATCCTTATTTGTTACAATTTCCACTGTGTGCATTTCGCGACAGTCGGTCTTTATGAATATTTCAGTATTTTGACTATCCATTTAGCAAGTATATAAGCTAGGAAACTATGCTGTAATCTATATAAACCTGTTTTTCCAAAGTTTTAGTATTCGAGTGAAAATATTGCCATAATTGGTGAGTTTAAAACTAACATAACCTGACAATAAAATTATCACACTTAAAAAGTCATTCATTAATATTAAAATAGATATTTGCAAAATCATATTTAATTTTAATAAGATATGATACATCGTATGTTTTATTAGTTAGTATCTTTATCATGTACATAAGTTGAACTTTAATATACCTATAATGAAGTCCATATTTTTAAAAACAATATAATATACGGGTTTACCAAGCTATGAATATATAAAAGGCTTCAAATTCAATCTATAGAAAAACCCCAAGCTGTTTTATCATTGTATCATTAGGCTAATCTTGAAAACATGTCAGTTTGTACAGATAGCATAAAATCCTATGAGCACAGGACGTTGTGAAGATTGTTGAATCTTGTAGTTTTACATCACGAACTGACTTTATTTAGAGAATGACTGAAAACCGAGAATCAAACTGATAGTTTCATTGGTTGTCATTAGTCATTTAAATGAGTTAAGTCGGTGATCTGAAATTAAAAGTGGAAAATTCATTGAAATACCAATTGGTGTACGCTGATGGTGAGATACTTAGTGCTTAAAAAACGACGATGATCTGACTTTTTTATCATTTTGTTTAAACATTCGACGTGAGGAAAAACACAAGACAATAATGAGAGATACGGAAAAGAGATTACGCAATAACGGCTTATACCGAGAAATAATACTTGTAAAGCAAATAATCCATCTTGGTATATATATATATATATATATATATATATATATATATATATATATATATATATTCAACAGACGGTGGTTGATATGCTATTGTGATTACTCAACACATAGGAAAGATAAAAAAGATTCATACTTACTTCACCAGCGCCGACGAAAAGATATATATTATCTGCAAGCTTACGTTTTGTAATACGACCGGCAGCCAGTAAGCCGGCTACCGCTACAGCTGCCGTACCTAAACGTCGAAATCAACGTGAAAAATATACAAAATTTAAGCATATTTTGATGACTGTTATTCGAATATCACCGAGATACTTAAAGAATTAATATATTTTCAAAGCATAATTAGAACACTAAGTTATTTTACACTGATGTACAGGAAGTTTAATTTTCAGAGCATTTCTGTATGTATATGCTGAAAAATGATAATCCCAGTGGTTTTATGATGTCACTATACATAGAAATGCTCAAAGTCGAGAAATTAAACAAAAAGTTAATCAGGATTAAATTTGTAAATTGGATATTTAAGTAAAAAGAAGGAACACTCAATATATGTCAAAAGTGCGCGCCAAGGTTATGAAAAATCGAAAAATACCGAATAGAAGGAGTTTATAGTAGCGAATATGGTTTTTAAAGCTCACAATAATTACACTGGTTTAATTAAATTAAACGTACTAAATATGCCGATAAAATATAATCACAAGTATATAATCACAAAGTATAAAGCAGGTCCTACTTAGTTTCAACTGCAAGTAGCTTTATTCACTTTTATTTATTTAAAAACATAGGTACAAGGTGGCACCAAACAGATATACGCCACATAAATCACTCGATTTATGTGACAGCTAGGATACTGCCCGGGTTCCCAAACCGAAACAGATTGTTTTCTTAGGGGACCACTCCCCGAGCCTTTGACCAAAAAATCTAATCAACAAGGCAGTGAAGCAACGTTAGGAGATGCAGTCCCATGGTAACCGGTGACCAACAATACGATCATACGCCATTTATTCCCTCAGGATACTGGATCCCATGTGTACCATTGGTTTGGAATCACGGTTTTCCAACTCCCCTAGGTGGGGCCTCCGTGTCCATCAACCCTGTTAAAATGTCGGACATTCGCTTTTTGTCCTCTTAACCGCGTAAACAACACACCCGTCGCGAGAAGACAATGGCTCTATACACGTGGCCACTTAAAAGCATTTCGAGAGGGAGAACTGACTCTCCTCACCATCTGCCATACCAGGGCATTCACATTGTTATATAAATGTGCATAGTAATTTTTAGGCAGTATGCAGACAAGATTTCTTACTAAAGAACATAGATTTTTCAAAGAAAATTTACTAACTTACCTTGTATATCATCATTAAAAGTGCAGTACGAATCTTGATATCGTTCAAGTAAACGAAATGCATTATGATTTCCAAAATCTTCAAATTGAACTAAACAATGGTTCCCGTAGCTGATAATACATGAAATAGTAGGCAATTATTGAGGCAATGCATTTAATATGAAATATATCCACAAATGAACTCAAAAAACTGTAGAACCACAATGGATATGACATTATTACAATATTTTTTATGAACCTCACCGTTCTGCAACAGCTTGCATGAAATTCTCGATTAACTCATCATAGCGTTCATCGCGTATACGCTTATGTCTGATACCCGTATATACAGGATCCTACAGAAGAAGTAATTGAAGGTGATATATAACTAACAACAATAATGAAAATATATTTCAGGGGTGATAGTAGGTAGATCATGTAATTTTATCAATTTAGTGGTATTGTTACTTGACATAAGACCGATTTATTGATCAAGAAATATGTAGAACAATATTGGAGAATAAAGGATCTAACGAAAATCAAATGTCATTAATGTGCCACTTACACACATATCACAATATTTTTGGAAATCTGAATATTCTTCATAATAACAGTGGACAACTGGATAACAATAATAATCATTATTATTAGCTCTAATCATGATTATATTTTTGGTATAATATAGAATTCTCAGTACAAAGTATTTCAACAAGTTTCCGTTTCTTACTTCTTGGTCGATACTAACGATAAATACTGAGTGATCGCCAGTTAAATTTTAGCAGTGCAGTAAATCGATATAGAAATAATGTACATTCTCTTCGCCGCACATTGCTAACAACCACGATATCTCTGATTAGGCCTTTTGTAACTTGTACAACGAAAGGTTGTACACTTTTCAGAAACGCACCTGAATGATGCATTAAAACAAAAATAGATAACTTGTTAAAATATCTAAATGACAGGAACAAGTAGCCCAGATGTTAAATGACTTAACGATTATAAGTTCGCAAGAATTGACTGTTTTGGGTTCCATTCATCTTACGGGTTATGAGTGCATATTGCTGAGGAACATAGAAAATAAACCAGAATAACTAATCAATGTTCTTTAATTTGCAATAGTTTTTTCAGCAGATGCTATCACATGAAAATTACTTCCGAATCAGTCTAATATCCCCAAACCATCCAGGTAACAAAAATGTTATGCATTTATTGATATGATGGGCCCTCAAATGCCCTGGTACGGCCGAGGGTGAGGAGAGTCAGTTCTCCCTCTCGAAATGCTTTTAAGTGGCCACGTGTATAGAGCCATTGTCTTCTCGCGACGGGTGTGTTGTTTACGCGGTTAAGAGGACAAAAAGCGAATGTCCGACATTTTAACAGGGTTGATGGACACGGAGGCCCCACCTAGGGGAGTTGGAAAACCGTGATTCCAAACCAATGGTACACATGGGATCCAGTATCCTGAGGGAATAAATGGCGTATGATCGTATTGTTGGTCACCGGTTACCATGGGACTGCATCTCCTAACGTTGCTTCACTGCCTTGTTGATTAGATTTTTTGGTCAAAGGCTCGGGGAGTGGTCCCCTAAGAAAACAATCTGTTTCGGTTTGGGAACCCGGGCAGTATCCTAGCTGTCACATAAATCGAGTGATTTATGTGGCGTATATCTGTTTGGTGCCACCTTGTACCTATGTTTATGTGTTTGAATAAATATATAATGATGGCTGAATATATATTGTTTAGTATTAATAATCAACGGATGATAGATAACTTTTTCCCTACAATTTATCTGATTGACAGTTGAATCTAAAATTAATTAGCATATATCAAAAAAATTATATAAATAATGCACAATCAATTTTATTACTGATTCACCATATTAATCTATTTTGCAAAAAATATAGTACTTGACCGTTATTACCGTAAAACTATTGAGTTTGACCTACTAATTGCATAGAGATGAATAACAATAAACACAATAAGAAACGATTTAATGAGAATTAATAATTTCGGTAAATAGCTAAATAAAGAACAATACTAACCTAATACATTGTGAGAGACCCCAAGATATTCACGAGACTGACAAATACAGATATATACGAAAACACAACCACTAGTAATAACTGTATATGGTTTATGATAAAAATACGGTTTTCATTAACTGATTAAATAGCAGTACCCTGAGTAGCGCTGTCTATTTTTTGATACCGATTGAATATAGTTGGTCAAGTTGAAATGCGGCTATTAGTCTGAAGTTCTTAGTATCATGATGAGTTTTGTTTGATGTTAGGTGATTAGAAGTGAACGACGAAAAGACGTGGTCATTTAACCAAATGACAACCAATGAAATGCTTCATAATGTCGAGTCATAATCTAATAACCATATTATGAATTGATCAATAGGATTCAAGCAGCATAATAACCAACTCATGTTAACAAGTCAGTCCTATAAAATAACCTAGTAGTAAGGTCTTCGACAATGATCGGGTTCAAATTCCATGAGATTGCAATCTGCCTTTGCTGACGAGAAGGAACTAGTACGAAAGGTAGGTTGAGTTTCCCGTCAACTGACTCCAACAATCTAACAATTCTATTCTATAAGATTATTTTGCAACAGTTAACTGAAAATTGATCATAAACACACTAACTATGTGTAAGCAAAAGTGACGACTTTTCTGCCTAACAATTCACTGATGGAAAATCATTCACATATTTTTTCAAGATGAAGGCATGTGTGTTACATGTTTAGCACAGTGACATTTATATTACTAATCAATAGTATTAGAATGGTTATTCGACTATAAGCGCTTATTCTTCTCTAAATCTGGACTATTGTAACAAAATACCCATATGAGAAGACGTCATTTATGTAGACACCTCGATTCGTTATTTAAACACAACAAATGAATTACGACTTTGTCGACTCAAGATCAAGCTGTTCAAGAAGTTCACACGTCAAATATCTTGTTGGTCGTAATTTTTATCCTATTCTGCCTGTTGAAGTAAGACTAATTTGCACTGGAAAAGATCATCTTCCAGTTATCAGTCTGTCAGCTGACGAACAAAAAACCAATTGTCCCAATTAACAATCTAAACTTACATTCAGTAGTTCTTGATTATCTGTCCCAACATCTAAAAGGATTGGTAAACAATGCTTCGGATGAACACCAGCCAGTGCTGTATATAACGACAGTTTTCCAATGGGTATTCCCATACCATATGCTCCCAAATCACCCAAACCAAGAATACGCTCACCATCAGTAAATACGATAGCCTTGGAAAAGTGAATTTCAGTAAACAAGTAAATTTAAATGCACATCACAACATTTAATATCGATTATAATGACTATTATAAGGTACTAGATCAATAACTGAAACTTTAAACGTACGAGATAACGAATGTCTACCATACTATAAACATGAATGAAATTCATAAGGAGGCTCCAGAATTGGGTTCTGTTCATTACGAGCCTTGGATGGAGACATTTTAAAACTAACTTTGAGCAAAAAATAGATAAACTGAATATTTTAGCAGTGGTAATTTATAGAAAGCAGGGTTTGGGATTCTCAGTGAGGATGTATAAACTGCGAATAGACAAGATTTTACGTGAAACTTAAATTTAGTGATTTCGGATTATCTCCCGATCCTCTTCAACAAAGAATTGAGGACCAAGTACAGTGAACAATGAGTTCATTTTAATCAATCTACAGATGATATATAATACATTTCTTGGTGCTCTACTATTCCAATTATTTTTTACCATAAATAATTTGATAATCAGATTTTTTGGTAGTAATAATACTTTTTCTGTCAATGGCAACATTCAGCTGTTTTAACAACACCGGATGTACAGTGACTCAAACTTAAAATCTATTGGTTGATATTCGAGTAAATAAACAATCGGGTCACATATTTAGTGGAGCATAACGATCGCTAATGGTGATAAAAGAATAACTATCTGGCGACTAATTTTCAATACTTCGTTTTACATTTACCAGATTATTTTACTGAGTTAACAATCATAAAAAACATCATACTGATTATGTGTATCAGTCTAAATCGTATATTTTCTGCGTTTTCACGAAATACGGGGTTTTAAATACGTTCTTGGATTTGAAGATGGGGTATATTTTCTACAGAAACTCGACGCAAGCTTTGATTCGAATAGAGTACCTTCGATACTAATATATGATTTTGTAAGCAGGGTGTAGTGATGACCTAACACAATGACTCAATCTGGTTGTATTTTATTTCAAGAACACATCGCATCTTTACTTGTTTGAACCGGTTCTATCAGCGAACAGTGCTCAGTACAGAAATCACTAAAAATTCGAAGATAAAAGATATCCAATCTAGTGAAGTCAATATTTCACTAGAATAACTTACCTGGTGTCGACAAATACGAGTAATCCTAACTGAAATCAGGCATCTATTAGTACATAAACATTAGACTTTACAACCGTGCAATAAATTAGTTTTGCCAGTTATCTCCAAACTTTCCAGTCAGACCAATGAGTGACCCAGCTAAAACTACATTGTTATGCTTTAGACATATGAAGATTGATTTCGTATTTTAAAACTATTCAAATGCTTTTAATTCACAGTCAATAAAAATTAACTAAAAAAGGTGAGTGCAAGCAAATTTATATCACTTTTGTAAAAATCTCATAAAATTTACTGATGCGGAACACAAAATAAACATGCGAACGCTTGTCCTCAAGTGATAAGGTTTAATTTATGTTTTTATCAAAGCGAAATTGAACTATTTTGTCCACATCCCATGAGACAGATTTCTATTTTTATCCCCAATTTTATAGCTGACCCAGTTTAATGCATCTTATACTGGCTGAAAGATTGAAGTGAGGTAGATATATAATCTCTAGTAAACAACTTCAGAAAATATTCCTATCAAGAAAATCAAAGAGAGGACTGGGAACGAGATACATAACAGTGTTTGGTTTGGAATACGTGTGATAGTGATCGAAGATCAGATAGAGAAGGAAAATGTGGTCAGTTCAACATAGAATGAGAGAAACCTATTAGATTAATTGTCAAGGAAATTTTGTGTAGTGTCAGGAGCCGATATTTTGAATGTAACTAGTAAAAGATTTATATTGTAATGTTTGTCGAAGGCCTTTTTAGAATAGTCAGGTGACATTAGTGCAATCAATTTGGTAAAACTGAAGGACATCATACACTATTTGATCAAGTGCTTTTTGTGCATGGGTTCCAGCTTTTGATCTATTATCGACAAAATATATATAAATGATCAGTGTGTCACCATTCGCCAACGTAAGGCTAAATTTCAAAGTATCGTGGGTGGACCATTTAGATATGTTAAAAAGACTATTTATTCTATTTCAATAACCTCATGTGCAAATTTATGGTCTTAAATTTTATTATTTTATGTTACAAAGCGAAATAAATTGGATAAATACTAGAAGCCTAAACATATTGGAGAGGTTTACCACTTAAGACTGTAAAATTTTACAATGAACACGTGATTGCTAAATCGCCTAGCTGAAACTCGTTATTAGTCTGTCAACATAAGTTTTCAATATCTGTTGTCAAACAGACTGTCTCATCAGAACTACAAAAGAGCAGAAACTTTTAATTTTATCAAACAATTGTGACTTAGGTGGAACTGGATACGATAGACAAATCTTCCCGAATATTGCTTGAAATGCCACTAAATGTTATGAAAATCAGTAGAATTTACCGAAGAATACGTGAATACCTTACCTTTACGATCGGTTCAGGCCAGTTATTTAGAATCGCGGGTATATGATGTCGATCGTGTACTGTTATGTATAGACCTCTAACGGGGAATAAGAAGGTAACTGATCAATGAAGGGGAATTTGACAAAAGATACAATAGTTAGGTACATCGTAAAGCACAATTTTGAATAACGTATAAACAAGTTTGAAAACACCCCACGAACTACATCATGATTTAAAACTACAGACAATGGAAAATCTTCTTTCGCCGAGGAATATAAGACCTGAATTATAATTTTTCCGTTAGATGTGGTACTGTACTGTAAATTCAGTACTAAAAATTAAAAAGGTTACTGGATGTTGAGAGCTCAGAGGAATTCACAACATAATTATCCATATAGTATTCATTGATTTAAAAAGATCAAAAACCGCGATCGTTTCACACAACAACTATGAATTACTGTCTCAATCTACAAATAAATGAACGTTTATAAGGATGCTTCTAAATAAAATAAATAATTTGAGCACTCAGTATGAATCACAGTCAAAATACGAGCACATATACCTGTCTACTAAAACATTAACACGCTGCCTTCTATCTTAACAAAATCTTCAGTTGACAAAAGTAGTCACGAAACGATGTACAAACAACTCGTAGAATACATTACGATAAATGTAATCCCAACCTATTTACTATAACTACAAAAGACAGATGATGATTTTGATTTGCTTACTTACGATTAACGTGTGAGGAATTTTGAGGAAACGGTATCTAGTACTGATAAATTGAACACCTAAAACTACGACTATCTGAAAAGGCACCAGTTAAATATTATTTCATTGGAAGCACAAAAGTTCACTGTCCACAGAGAAACAGAGATATGTGCCATTTTTCAGATGCTAAATCTTTAGTTCCTCTCTTCAGCAAGAGTATTAACAAGAATGTCTGTTATTCATGAAAATTAAATAACTTCTGTTATACTCCGGCACAACTGTCGGTAAGTTTTTCTCCTTCCAGTTGAAATTACTACACGCTTTCATACTAGTCAGATTCCCTAAATTTAGAACTGGCCTTCATGAAATCATAAAACTTTGAACAAATGATATTAAATTGTACTTTGGCTACGTTAGGATTGTGAGTGGATTTGAACATCACATCAAGGCTAAATCAAGTTGGATAGGAAGTGATTCAAAAAACTGGCTGAACTGCTAATATGTGAAAAAAACGAATTAAATTAGAGCACTTACCTAGGTCGTCGAAATACTACACCGTAGCGTTGACAAGCCAAACCAACAGTTGGTGTGTATATCAACGGCATACAATATTCCACATGTTCAATAACAAGCTGAATTAGGAACAACAATTGGAAAAAATATTACATTTGTACCCAGAGATAGAAGAATGCAGTGACACATACAGTGCACGATCTCATAGTGGTATGTTTCCTTAGTAAGTAATCATTTAACTCTGTGCCCATAATTCACCACTGATTCGATCGGGAAATGGTATCTCGGATTGCTAAAGATAAGTGTCAAAAACTGGACTATCGGTTCTTAGTAAACAATTGAACGGAACATAGTGGATGCAAATGATACTAGTACATTTCATAAATGACACAGATTGGTAACAAAAGGTATTTTAAGAAAGTCAGTTAGTCAGTTACAACGTAGGACCAGGCACATACATGCACCGGTCCAAGTTGCCACACCTCATCAGCACAGTGTTTTAAGAAAGGCTGGATATGAACTTGTCAATAGCGCTGCCTAAACATGCGGATTGATAAATGAGGCTGTGCTGCTCGTTAATGTTGTCAGGAAACAAAGGAAGATTAATGAAGATATAAAGCTGTCGCATGCTCTTAACAACTACCATTAGGATCTGATATTCAAAGCAAATATTGCGTCTAATTATAGACGTCTGACCGAGGAACAAAGTTAGTTTATGGCAGTACAACTGATGAAATTATAAGAAAGGTAAGTGGTTTAAGATTATTAATTGGAGCAATAATAGTTATACATTGAGCTCTTAGTATGAATCCGCTTTTCTTGAATTTAGTTAACGTAAGTAGTTCTTGGATGTGATATGTCGAAACCTAGATTGGCAAGCCATCAGTCGTACCTACCCATCATAAGAGCATACCTTTTTCTTGAATATACTACAAAACAAATTTATTTGACAATAAATTAAGGTGACAACTCTAGAAATGGGAACTTGGACGTACCTTATAAAATAAAGCCTCGTTTCGGTCTTGTAATGAAGTAAGATAAACGTAGCGCTGCAAATTATCGTTCATATTCTTTAGATTGGCCATCATTTTTGAAACCTGTTGGTCCAGAGTTAATACAGAAGGTGGGAGTAGCCCATGTATACCAAGTAATTGTCGCTCATTAAGAGTGAACGCAGTTCCCTGAAACAAAGTCATTAATAGTGTATTTTTTACTAGTATTGCCAAACAGTTTTCGACGAAGAATTGAATATATGCAAGGAACACTCACTCGATTTGTTCTCGGATCCCGGACCACATCGATACCGTGAAGCCGAATAAAATTTGAATCTTGTCCACGTACCGAATAGTTTGCAAGCTTATGAACGATTTGGTTTCGTTGAAAGGGGAAAAGCTGTAAGAACTTCCTCATGGTGAAATATTTCATATAACGCCTAAAATAAAAAATTGCAGGTTTCAGAAGGCAGAATGCTTGATAAGGTTGATATGAATACAGAAAATTGATTTACATTGATCGTTGCGTTCACCATCAAGTTAGTTGTATTGGTGGAAATAATTTCTCTATTATTGGAATTTAAGGGTGAAATATTCCTGACTGTGTCAACGTAATGAGGGTTGAATGGTAGCCCAAAAAATCAGCATTTGTTAAGGATCTGAGCTTCTCATTTAAAAAAACAATACAAATCAACCTATTAAAATCCATACCACCCAATCAACATGCTTCATATAAATCTATGAGTTCAGTTACAATAACTGAATGGCGAAATTTAAAAACAGAATATCAACGAATGGTGGTGGTTAACTTGTTAAACCCAAAAAAACTAGTCTGAAGAAAATATTGGGTGTTAGAAAGCAAGTCAATGATCAACTCAAGCCAGACAGCTAGAAAACTAGTGGGATAATCCGAGGGCTTTTTCTAAGTAGCATTTCAGAACTTCGTGCTATTATTAACATGCATAAAACAGGGTTGAGATGGTTCATATGGAAGTTTATTATGCGGAAAACCAGAAAACCGGCAGTAAAGCAACATCTATCCCGATAATACGTACGAGTGTTGATAGATAATTAAATCCCGTAAGGAGGCTAGCTATCCATTTTGTCAGAACTCCTTACTTATTTGGGACATGACAAAATGAAAATAAAAATTCACATATATAAGGTAGAGTAGAAATATACTATTGTAACTTGTCTAGTATATTTATCATGAAGCGAAATGTACGGGTAAAACCACTCACACAGTTTCTAGTATAATATTGTGACTCAATTGCCAAGTGTAGATGAATGTACTTTAGTTTGGATCACTGAGACTAATTATATTACGAAGATGAAATTGTTTTATTTACTACGTGTGCGGGTATGAGCGAAAATTTAGTTGTGGAGGTTAGTGACACTACACGATTGCCAAAACCGAACGGGTTAGAATCTGGTACTTTGCAAGTGAAAGTCAAAAGCTCTAGCTACTACTCCACACATTGCCTGGATACATAAATCGAAGTAGGTTTAGTGAGTTAACTAATCTTTTAGATTGGAGTGAAGGCAAAAGGAAACAAAAGGTTCTAATGAAGAATGCGATACTACCTACTAGAGATTTGCATGATTACCTAGAATCACTAACATTTACCAATACACCAGAGATACAATCTTATACAGTCTTACACACCAGAAACTTAAATTTGGCGCTTAAGACATAAGAAGCGCCGCAGTTATTATTATATATTTTCCATGTTTGTCAATTGAATCTTGCCCCCTCAATTATTCCGTGTCTTCAGATCTTACTAGCAGCACTCGATAAATTTATTATTGAGATGAAAATCTTTACGAATTCAGCATGTGAGATCAACTGTAACCACTACTTACTTGTCACCCTTCGTGGAGGAGCATAGGTCACTGACCGGCATTCTCCACTACATTAAATAGAAATAATGTTTCGGTTTTTAGGTTCGTGAATTTACGGCAAATGCTTTTGCTTCCAACTATTTGTCTATATTTTTCCAAACATGATACAACAATTTGCTGAGCCGTTCCAGCCATAAAAGAGATGTCCTTCAGATTATCAATAGTGAAGTCTTTACACTCACAGTGAAACCTAGGCTTACTACAGCGATTGGCGAAAACGGTAAAATTAAACTTATTTTTTACGTTGGTATCGTCAATCTCTTTAAGGAACCATTTCATTCCAGTGAGTATGTTCATGTGTTTAGCAGTTAGCCATGAGTATATGTGAATAACCATTAGTGACGTAACATACAAATAAAAGGCTGTAAACGTTATTACTCATGATGTAATAGTCCACCTTCCACATGCATTTTTGCAAGCAACATTCGCACCCATAGACTTTTCGTATTAAGCTATTGACGACTTCTTTATAAAGTTGTCATAACCTGTAACTGAAAAGTCCCCAATTATTAATACCTTTGTAGCGTGGTGTAGAGTTGAGCTTGACTATGAACACCGCTACCAGACTACGTGCCAATTAACCGAAAAGATCCTCGTAGACCAATATCAGAAGGCAGATAATAGTGGTAGTTGAAATATATTTGCTGGCAATCTCGTGGTATCGAAAGAATACCGAGATCGTGCCAAACGAGTACAAATGCGATCGGCAAGAAAAGGTACGTGCGTAGTCGAAAACCGCGTAGAAGTAATGGGGTACAATGGAAGACCAAAATGGCTGTTATTAGCACAGTTAAACAAACGAGCACAATAAAACAACCACTGGTACGATTGGTTATAATAATAATTGTTTTCATCGAACCAATCGCGTTCTGTTGACAAAAGCATGTCACTACAGGAGCCCCATGCTAGAAAGGGTTTACACTTTCGATAGTTAGCGGTTTGATTCGTAGGACTGATCGGCAGAAGTGCAGTCGTAGGATGGAGGAAATTGGCGGAACAGGAAGTGATCGTTGATCCTCTAGTTGCCAACGAAAGTCTTTTGCGTAGATTGGTACCAGGAGAAGTGTGCTGTATTTGTTGCTCGAGTTAGCATACCACAACAGAGTGGTTTGTATCCAGGATCTGATGATTGCGTTCGTAGGGATGCGAACCAGAAAACGCTGCAGACGTAGGACGAAACCACGTTGAGCCAAGAAACCGGAAGCGACCATAACTACCAAGCGTATGCCAGGCGAATTCGAGACCAGATAATCGACTGAGTGCGTTGACTAGAGCGTGGGTGGCCAAACTAGCTTTTGCCAAAGTTGACTGAAGTCGACGTTACCAAACGGGCGATGATCGGAGGCGTGGGCTCAGGATACAAAAAAATCAAAAAAGAAAAGTGTAGCATGCGCGTAGTATAGGAATAGTCCTACACCGTATCCGTTATTGACTGTGCGGTTAGTCGCGAAAGCGTACGGGTAATCGTACTCGGCGACCGGAACGTGAGACGGTAGTCTCGTTCGTACTTCGTGAGCCTGCGATCTCATCCGAGGTCAAGGGCGGCGTGGTCTGTCGATCTGGACGTGAGACAGGAGCCTCGTCCGTAGATCGTGCAGATGACGAGTGCTGTTGACCGGGACGTGAGAACGAGGTCTCTGATGTATCTAGCGTGGGATCCGAGATAGACGTAGAGATCCCGCTAGAAGGTTTGGTAGGTCTAGCATTGAGTCTCAAGTTATAGGGTAGGGCACTGTCATCGACGTGTGCTGGTTTGAGACGATCAATGCTGACGATCTCGACGCGGCCGTGTCGATCAACCTTGAAGGTCTTTTTGTGACTAAAGATCACGTGAAAAGGGCCTTCTCAAGGCTGTTGCAAAGGTTTGCGTACCGAATCTACTCGTATGAAAACATGTGAACAGGTAGATAACTCTCGAGGGAGAGCGACCTGTCGATGTTGTATTTGAGTTGACACCGGAGACAGCGTTCGCATAAATGCAGACAGTCGATGGACGTAGTCTGATTTACCGAAATCATTACTGCTCCGTGGTGTGAAGAATTCCCCAGGCAGACGCAATGTCGTGCCGTATACAAGTTCATCGGCGGAACATTGGATATCTGCCTTCAAACTCTTTCTGATGCCTAAAAGAACGAGCGGTAAGGTTTCGTACCAATTGTCGTTTTCGTGTGCTCGGAGAGCACTTTTGGGAGGCGAAACCCGACTCACACGTCCGCGTCGTGCCTCCTGGATAGTGAGACGAATGTCTCATGAACTAACGTGAGCGGTAACCTAAGTGGTAGAGATCGGGCTAATCACCCACTCGACCTATACCCACCAACTGATTACGAAATCCACAAAGAAACATAGCACACCTACATTTGGAACGGAAAACGACAAAAAAATTTTGAAAGTGGTGCATGTATCATATGGAGTTGCTCGTCAATGGGCAAACTCCAAAGGATTGCAGAAACAACTATTCTAGCCCCAGTAGTTGTGCCGTGCTTCGATGTGGCCTGTTTCTCTCCAGAAGGGCCTACCAGGCTTCACCAACTTGTTTGGCTGGAAGGGGGGGAAGAGCACTTTTAAGTTGGCGATGAAACCTTTCGACTAAACCATTCGATGCTGGATGGTAGGCGGTAGTGCGTATGCGTTCCGTACCAAGCAGCCTGGTCAGTGAGGAGAATAATGCGAACTCGAATTGTTGTCCTCGGTCAGTCGTGACAGTCGAGGGACAACCGTACAATGCTATCCATCGTTCTACGAAGCGGTGAGCAACTGTCTCCGCCGTGATAGACGTGATGGGAATAGCTTCGGGCCATCTTGTAAAACGGTCAATGCACGTGAGTATGTGATCATACCCATGCGATGATGGCAATGGTCCTACAATGTCTATATGAACGTGATCAAAGCGAGAATCAGGCGTAGCGAACGTGCCAATGGGGGCAGCTACGTCCCTGTGCACTTTTGATCGTTGACACTGTAAGCATTGCTTTACCCACATACGAACATCTTTATTCATGGACGGCCAGACGTATCGTGCAGCGATGAGACGTAATGTGGCTGCGATACCTGGATGAGACAATCCATGAAGGGCATCGAAGACGAGACGGCGATAGGTAGAGGATGCGATGGGTCGAGGAAGACCGGTAGAAATATCACATAGGATAGTACCTGAGCTAGTAGCTAGGGGTACTTCCTGACACTGAAGGGACGAAGATTGTGGTGCTTCTGTACAGACAGGATCGTTTGCTTGCGCGGCCGCCATAGCAGGAAGATCGAGCACCGGTAAAGTAACTGCATTCGTCTGGATACGTGAAAGAGCATCGGCAACATAGTTCGACTCGCCTTTAATGTGACGAAGGTCTGTCGTGAACTGGGAGATATAGTCCAAATGTCTGCACTCGTGGTGAGTAGCGGTCAGACTTGGTATGCAGGGCATACGTTTAGGGCTTATGGTCGTTGAATAAAATGAATTGGCGTCCTTCTACTGCATGTCGGAAATGTTTGATGACGCAGCAGGATGCAAACAGCTCGCGACCAAAAGCGCTATATCTCGTCTCCGTGGGAGTAAGGCGTTGTGAGAAAAATTCGAGCGGTTGCCAACTACCGGAGATATTCTGTTGCATGACGGCTCCTATAGCGAAATCTGATGCATCAACCGCTATACTAAGCGTGGCTGATGGGTCAGGATGAGCGAGAAGTGTAACTTCAGCGAGAGCCGTTTTGATCTCTGAGAATGCAGTACGTGTGGTATCGTTCATTTCTAATTTGCGTGGATTACCGCGTAGTAAATCGGTTGATGGTCGCAACCGTTCTGCCGCGTGAGGGATGAAACGTCGGTAGAAGTTAACCAAACCGAGAAATGCCTTCAGTTTCTTGAGATAGGACGGCACGTTGTACCCCTTGATTGCTCGAACTTTGTCCTCGCAAGGCAGAATACCCTCTTGTTTGATGATGTGACCCAAAAATATTATTTCTGGTTTACCCAATTCACATTTCTGTGGGTTGACTACTATTCCATTACCCGAAAGACGTTGGAATAATAGCGTAAGGTGTTGATAATGTTCAATACGTTTGATGATGCGATCAGCAGGTCATCAATATAGACGTGAACAAAATCCAAGTCTCGTACTATGCTATCGATAAACCTTTGGAAAGTTTGAGCAGCATTCCGTAATCCAAATGGCATTCGTAGGAACTCTAAAAGACCGAAAGGAGTCGTGATAGCAGTTTTTTCGATATCTTCAAGAGCGACTGGGATCTGGTGATATGCTCGTACCAGATCGATTTTAGAAAAGATAGTTGTGCCCTTGAGCGATGCCGTGATGTCGTGTATGTGGGGGATGGGGTAACTATCAAAGCGCGTAACTACGTTTAATGCTCGGTAGTCGCCGCATAGTCTCCAACTAACCCCATCCTTTTTGCGCACCATATGAAGAGGAGAGGCCCAAGGACTGTGAGAAGGGCGACTAATACCAGTAGATAGTAAACTGTCAAACTCACGTTTAGCAAAAGCTAATTTGTCTGGTGCCAGTCGGCGTGGTCTTGCCGCGACTGGTGGTCCGCGGGTGACTATGTGGTGTACCACACGATTGGTCACCGATGAAATCTCCTCGAGTGGTTTAGTTAATCTGGGGAATTTCTCGAATAAAGCGTGGAATTTATCGTCACGCGATTAAAAAATGCCGAGGATTCGGTACGCGTTTGTGTGAGCTTTAAAGCCCATGAATTTACTGTTCGACGAAGTATCGATTAGCTGCAGCCTACGTGAATCGACTAGCAATTCATAGTGCTGTAGGAAATCAATACCTAGTATGGCTGTGGGAACATCAGCAAT